CAGCCAAAGGCTGCCTGCTGCAAACGCTCCCAGGTGGAAATGGACACGCAAAACGCCGCCGAGCAGGTACACGCGTATTTAAAAGAAAAACAAGCAATCGCGCCATCAGCTCTCCCCCGTAAGGCGGGAGCCAGGACAAACGCAGAGCGAGGCGAGGAAGAGACTGGAGCCCCGCAAACTCAAGCTCCTGCTGCAGGACCTCGGCGCCGTTCGCAGCCCGCCGCCCAGATGCCTCGACGAGGGGCGGCCGCCCCGCCGCACCTTCCCGCCGCGTCCCGCCCGAGCAGGACTCCCCTCTCCCGGGGGGACGAGGGGCCATGGGTTATCGCGCTGGGACGCTGAGGGCACAGGCATGTCTCGGAGTTAGTGCAGCAGCGTGGCCAGGCACCGTCCGCAGCGAAACCGGATTTTTCCATCCCGCCGGCTCCTCTCCTCAGCCGGAGCGGGTGGGCACACGGGCCAAGCGGAGGGGGGCTCGTTTGGTGCTTTCCACTTCCTCATGCCCTTTCCCCTTCCTCCCTCACAAGTTTTCTCTTTCCTTGGCAAGCGCGGGGCAGCCTGGGCCTGCGGGGTCCCGGGCCGAGGGGGACCTACCTGAGCGCCGGGTACTGAAGTCCAGCCGCAGGGGAGCAGTAGACGCTGCAGTGCATTATTATGCCATAGACCAGGAGTGCTAGGACCGCTTTGCTACACATTGCCACACTGTGCGGGAGGGAAAGGAGAAATTCTGTCAAAAAAAAAAAAAGAAAAAAAAACCCCCCCCGCCCCGCCGAGCCCCTCGCCGAGCCCGTGGGGCCGGGAGACAGCGCGGCTCTGGAGCCGGGCGCGCAGCAGCGCGGAGCAGCGCCCGCTGCCGCCGCCGCCCCGTCGGTGCCGCCCGCCCCGGCGCAAGGCCCGGAGAGCCGCCCCGGCTGCTTACCATTAAACTCTAAACACTCGGCACCAAGAGCGTTTGGCTGCGGAACTGAAAGGGCAGTTCTTAAAAATCAAAACTAAGATTAAAAAAGAAATGGGTGACAGGGAGAAAAAAAAATGCGGCACTCTCCCAAGTTGCGGCCGAAAAGAGTTAAAACCCTCGTGGCATCGCCTCTCCTATGGGCGAAGGACTCGCAGGATGAAGAAGATGCAAAAACGGCGGTTACTTGTTTGCTGATTTAGAGGGAATCCACTCCGAAAAGAAAAAAGGAAAAAGAAAAGATAGAAGAAAAAAGTTTGCAGGTAGCAGCACAGATCTGGAGTGGAGTCTGAGAGGGAAGGGACAGGGAGGGAGAGGGATGGAGCGAGATGCCGGCGGCGAAGGGAGCCCAGGGAGAGGGGGAAGAAGAGCGAGCGAGCCCGGGAGGCAGAGGAGGAGGGGAGCCGAGGGCTGGTGCTCGAGATGTTGTCTTCCCCAGATCTCTCCCCTCACTGAGAGCCTTCAGCTTCCTCCTCTTCTTCTCTTCCTGCTTGGCGACTCCAAACTTGACCAGCCTTCCGCAGCCTTCCGCCTCACACGCAATTAGCAGCAAAACCTTTGCAAACAGCCCGCTTCAGCGAGAGCCCTCTCCGTAAACATTTGCCTGCATGTCACCTCGGAGGACGGGCAATATTGTTTGTTGTCCCCGCGCCGGGCTCCGGATTTTTATTCATGAATCAAATGCCTTTTTTTTTTTTTCCTTTTTTTTTTTTCCCTCCCCAGTCACGTAATAATCGGGTATCTGAAAAGACGTCACCACCCCAATTCCTCAAGGAACACGGCGCTGTGTCGTCCTCCAGGATGAGCTTATCGGGAGTCATGAGGCTTCTCGCAAACACCAGCTCACGCTTCCCCCCAAAACAAAACGGCAGCGCGAAAGCGAGGGAGCGCGAGGGAGCGCGAGGCAGCCCGCGGCCCCGCTTCACCTGCCCCGAGACGGCACCTCCGCGCGGGGGAGGGAGCTCTAGGGGACTCGGGGGGGTCCCGTCCCCGTCCCCCGCCTCTGGCTCCGCGCCTCGGAGCAGCCCC